AACATTTACGTAGGCTCTCAGTCCTGGTCCATTTGTTTGGCTAAGCTCACATCCATCAGTTTCCTCCTTCAGCAATCAAGGATGAGTCTCTCTTTGTCCCGACTGATCTTTCTACGTTCTGTCCATGGAAAGGACATGCTTCGTACTACTCCGTTGTAGTGGGAGGTCTGTCATTGGAGCCTGCTTCTGCTTTCCAGAAAGTATGACTGACATCGTGCATCATTCAGAAAAAACATATCCTAATGCAGCGTGGTATTATGCCAAGCCATACGACGCTGCCATGAATATCAAGGATCATGTGGCTTTCTGTGAGTTCACCGCATCAACTTAGGAGCTCGAAGCTGATGGATTGCCCCGGTCAGACACTAGTAAGGTCAATGTGACGGTTGAAGACTAGCGGGTGATAATTAGCCACTTCGATATTTGGTGCAACAGCTTGGATTTAGTGCTGGTTTCAAGTGTACAGACCATGAATCATGCCCTCTATGAATTGTAATTTCCGTGCAAGACTTCGAAATATCTCATGCGACAACGGACTCGAAAACGGGATCATCGAAACAGAGCCGTCCAAGCATCTAACAGTGACAAGTCCCTTTCGTTCACCTCCAACCATCATCAACTGAACGCCAAAGGGCGATTGCCAGGCAGGCTGGTATCCGTCAACTCATCAAGTAACTCCGTCCAATCCGCAGACTCTAGTGTTAAAATGTTGCCGCTTTCCAGCATTTCTGACCAAATTTCTTCAAATTGTCCATCAGGAGGCAAGTCTGTGGCTGTGGTATCTATTGTAACATCATGCAAATCGATCGCCGTGGATGGTGTATTGTAAACTCCCGTCATGGCTGGATTGATGCGCACTGGTTCTTTGACCAGTCGAGGTCCAAGCGGCGCATTGGATGGATTGACCTCGGGTGGTGCGGCGAATGATTGAGTGCTGCTCTTCCAATGTCTCCGTAGTACGCTCATCATCGCATCTATACCTTCGCGTACCAGTGAAGATGACTCGTGTGCCTTGCTTAGCATGCGGCAGGCGTCGAGCACTTCCTCCTTCCTTCTTTCCGCCAGGATATCATCCCAGTTGAAGCAAGCATCCATCAAGAGAATCACAGTAGCCATGAACACATGGTGAGTGACAGACCAAACCACTGAGACGGGAGGATTATAGCCGAGGTCGCCCTCGTCTAAAATCTTCCTGATTTCGATTACTTTTCGAGCGGATTGGAGGCCGATGAGATGAGACCACGCAAATGTGGGCTCACGCGCGCCACGGATGAAGTGATGCCGATGCAATCGGCACAGCCGAGAGAAGAAGCCTTGCTGTAGGACATACCTCTGCCATGCAATGGCCGGTCTCTCTTTATAAATGGGCTCAAATCGGCGCTGGGAGCCCGGATCGAGGCGGAAGAATTCCGGGATTTCTGAGATCAGCTGATGGAATTTGCGATCCAGCTCAAGTATTTTGCTGTAGTCTAGCTCTAGACCATGAAGGTGATCGTGTGACGTCGCGTCAATGATTTCACGACATATGATTGCCAACTTAAGGCGCTGGAGCGCATAGGACATGTCTGTAGGTACGCAGCTGGGCAGTGACGTTACAGCACCTTCCTTCTCGATAAGCTCGTCGTCGATATTCGATGGTTGTTGAACGTTCATATGATTCTTTTGTATCGAGTATGTCCATTCTTGGGGACCAGTCAAGTTACCAAGGATCCTTGATCGAAACTTTCAGCGAATGCAGTTATTTTAGTCACAGATCCAGTGAAGCTTACCAGTCATAAGATACCAAGTCCCACCAGAGCCGTCTTTTGAGTTCTACTTCTAAGCAGTCAAACCCAGTCGCTTCTCGTTCCTCTCGAGCTCGCGGCGAATCGATGCAATGGAGCATCAGAATTTTAGCCTGGCTAATAATAGACCCCAGCGCGAAAAGTCCGCTGACTGTTGGCTGTATGTTCCAAACGTAGAGATTGTGCATGACAACCATGGTCGCTTGCAGCCCTTCTATCGTGGGAGATACGGTATAATTACTCTGGATCAGGGCCGCACCAGTCAGGTACGAAAACTCGCGACTGCAGGCCTCTGCATCGGCAGAACTCTCCAGGGACAGTTGCAGGTAAAGAGAGCTTGCCATTATACTGAATATTAAAGCCAGATGATCGAGAATTATCGGTGATCCAACTTCAACCGAGCGATAGATGTCATCCACCTGGGATTTGACGCGACTTGGAATGATAATATGGTATAAGGGCCCGACGTAGTCGATGTAGTATTGAAACAGTGACATTGCCTGGTCTCTATCAGGGAGGTACGCCCTCAAGTCCACCGTCGCTGGGTTCTCTTTGGAAGCAGACCGGTCCTTGTACAAGTATGCGAGCGAGGATATGGAGGGACGAGCTTCCGGAGTTGGGATTGGGTTTCCAGTTCTTTGAGGCTCACGCAGCCCATCGCGCAGCCAATCTGGAGTGGCTGTTGGAATCCTCGCGGCCATGTGAATATTTTCCAGCCAGTCGGCTGTTTGTATCAGCTCCCTATTGTTCTTCGAGGCTAGAGTCTTAGTCGACGAGAGAGTCTGCTTATCTTGCGGACTCTGAGCGAGCACCGGGCCATCATGGCTTGATGTCGGGGTATCTCGGAGTCTGCTGTCTCTTGCGGTAGCCCCAGGTCGTTCATATTTGCAGGTCAATCTGCGAAGAGAACAACTTGCACATGGTTGCTGTCGATCACATTTGATTTTCTTTGTCCTACATGATTCACAGGAGACAGGGTCCTGGCGAGGCGTTCGCTTCGGTTGAGGATCGGGAGGTTCTGGTGCGGCCTTTCGCTTCATATTGAGATTATCTGCTGGCCTGAATCAGATTGTGTCACCTACAAAGGGATCACAACTCCTGGGATTGTAGGTAAGTATGACAAGCTACCAAATCCGTGGATCACCAATCATCGGGGGCTGAAGCATCTCGATGAGTAGATGGCTAACAGCGGAAGTGTAATTGGCAACAGGAAGTTGGGAGGCTGTCTAGTTGGCGGCCCCGCTCGGAGAGTCCGCGGAGAGTCCGGGCGCCGGAGCGGACCATCCAGCACCTTTGCTGAGGAAGAGCCATTCATTCATTTCATAGTACTTGTGCTACAGACAGCCGTGCCAGCAAACAAACAAGCACAATCCATACGTCTCGGACACTCCGGACGGAGAAAGTTCATATTTACTACTACTTGTCTCATCACTTTATAAAAGCATTCAAATGCCTACTATAGCGATGACTCTGCTCGAGCTCATATCCAAGACATCCACCACAATCAGCAGAAGTCGATCGACCTTCCACGATGGGTAGCTCCGATCAACCTTCGAAGCCCCAGAGCGAATACACGTGAGTCTCTGCTGACATTCAATCAGCAGCTCTGAGCAAGCTGACAGACTCAGACCACGAGCATGTCTCATGCTTCTAGGATCTTTCACTGGTGTCTTCTGCACAGTCGGCTTTGTGAACTCATTTGGCCTGTTCGAGGAGTACTACTCGAAAGCTCAGCTGGCGGATGAGTCCCAGTCCACCATCGCCTGGATCGGAGCACTGGCTGTATTTTTTATCTTCTCTGTATCACTTGTGTCGGGCCCATTACTTGACACAATTGGGCCAAGGGTTCGTCTTTCTACACTGCAGCCAGACCACCCGCCCCAAACCCGGCTAACTTGCGAGCAGATCCTCCTTTGCACAGGATCCTTCGGGACCGTCTTCTCACTCATGATGACCTCTCTCTGCAAGGAGCTATACCAGTTCATCCTCGCCCAGGGGATTCTTCTCGGGATCTCCCAATCACTCCTCACCTGCCCCATGATAGCTCTCGTGGGCCAGCACATCAAGGTCAATCGGGGTGCAGCAGTGGGGATCGTCATCTCCGGCTCCTCTCTCGGCGGCGTCGTCTGGCCCATTGCAGTCAACAACCTCCTCCAGAACCCGCGGATTGGCTTCGGATGGACCATGCGCATCGTCGCATTCATCATGACCCCTCTTCTGACCGTCTCCTGTCTCTGCTGCCGACCCCCAGCCCATCCTCCCTTACCAACCGCCACCACCACTCTTCAAACACAATCCCTAACACCCCTCGATGCTGAAAAATCAAGCAGCCCCATCATCCCTCAAGAGCAGCACTCTCAAAAGCCCTCCTCACACGAAACCCCCTCAATCCTCAAGAATCCCACCATGCACCTAACCTGCCTCGCCTTCTTCATGATCTACTTCGGCATGTTCTCCCCATTCTTCTACACCACCTCCTACGCCGTCGCGGAGGGCTTCTCCGCCGACCTCGCCTTCTACACCATCTCCATCATCAACGGCGCCTCCCTGCTCGGCCGGATCCTGCCAGGGATCCTGGCGGACCGATACGGGCGCTTCAACTGCTGCTTCGTGGCTACGTTTACTTCCGGCATAGTTGCCTTGTGCTGGACCAAGGTAACGTCCGTGGCGGGCCTGGTGATCTTCTCGACTGCTTATGGGTTTTCCTCCGGGGTAGGCAGATCTTTGACTTGGACGCTGGGACACAAGCGACTAATGGAAACGTAAATCTTAGGCTATTCTGTCGCTTCAGCAGGCGTGTGCGCTGCAGCTGGCGACGCCGAAGAGTGTTGGTCTTGCAGTCGGGGTTGTGATGGCTGCTGCGTCTCTTTCGTAAGGATTTCTGTTCCCATCAACAGGGGGTGTCGGTTATGATGGCTAACTTGAGGTGATGCACAGTGCTATGGCCGGGATTCCGATTAGTGGGGAGCTTGCTCAGAAGTATGGCTATTTATCGTTGTCCATTTACTCGGGCGTGAGTCTTCTGGTGGGGAGTCTGCTGCTGTTGGTGGCGAGGGTGATGCAGAGTCGGGCTTTTTTCGCCGTTGTTTGATCGCCATCTATCTGGTTGCGACTGTGAATTACACACTACAAAGAAGTCGACTATAGCGCGATATAATTCGATTATAGACTCCATTTATAAGATGAAGCGTCTCAACTTATACTAGTTCACCTCTTTCAATCCTGACACACCCCCGGAGGAATAGTCGTACTCCCCACCCTCCTGAACCGACGATACCTCGCCCCAAACCCCAACCCTCTCTTCGCAAACCCCCTCCAAATCTCACACCGATTCTTGCCCCCAGTAAGCGCCACATCTGCGTCCAGGATCGCATCACGCGCTTGCACAAAGGTCGGATTACACGGTTGTCTATACTCAGTCAGCTCTACCCCCAAAGAAGGAGAACGAACATGGGGATAACTCACAAAGCCATCCCATCCACCACCAACTTCAAGCTCAAATACCTCCCATCCATCCCCCTCACCCCTTTACCAAAACCACGATGCAGATAACTACCACCAGCACCACTGATCCTCAACCCCCCACCCACACTGCTACCCACCCCATACCGATCCATCAGATTCCACATCACCTCATACAGCATAGTAGCCCACACCGTCCCGATGGCATGCACGCCCTCGAACTCATTGACATGCGTATACAGCAGGGGGTTCTCGCGCAAGGAGGTCGAATACGGGTACACGCGCACCCCGGACTTGGTGGCCTGGGCCCAGGCGCCCACGGCGTACGAGGTGTTCCGCGAGTCCGCCGGCTTCACGCGGATGGCGGTGGCCATGAAGTCGCCCCAACCTTCGCCCATGCCGGCGGATTCGAGGGTGCTGAGGCAGCCGGCGTTTTGGGGCCCGCCAGTCAACCGGGTTGATACTATTTTTTTCCTGGCGGTTAGGTAGCGGTTTCAAGCTGGTGGTGAACGGGGGTGGTGGTGGAAGAGAGGTGGTTGGATACGTACAGCCATGGGTATACTCGTGGATCACGATCCCGGAGTCGAAGCTCCCGTCGCGGATGACATCCGTCGCGGACCCGGGCTCAACCCACAGGAACATGCTCATGCGGCCGGGGATGCCGTCGGGCGGCGCGGCGAAGTTGGCGTTGTCGGTGCCGGAGCCGTCCTGCGCGTTGAGGATCACGTAGTCGTGGGACCGGCCGCCGCGGCCGCCGTTGTTGAACTCGAAGTTGCCCGCGGCTTCGGTGAAGCCGAGCTGGTACAGCAGGTCGTGGTAGGCGTTGACGGTGTAGAAGAGCTGCGTGATCGAGGCGTTGAGGTAGGCCGCCGGGTAGGTCTGGTTCGGCGCGTAGGGGTACTGGAACTCCAGGGTCGGGGATGACGGCCGGTAGTTGTTGCGGTAGGGCCGCCCGCCGCTGGGGTTCCACTGCGCGATCGCGTTGTTGCCTCGCGTGCTGGTGTAGTTGGCGAGCCCGTCGCTGTGCCAGGTGTACGGGGAGGAGGCGAGGTCCCATGGGTCGGTGACGATGATGCGCGTGCCGTCCGTGGGGTCGTTGGTGCCCCATGGGCTGGATTCGAAGGGTTAGTTCTGGACAGAGAGGATGGCGGCCATCACTGCTCACTAGACTTGGTAGGATGCCTCGGAGACGTAGTCGATTACCCCGTGGATTGTGGTGCTGGTTGCGGCGTCGATGTATGTGATGAACCAGTGATCGTGAACGTCTGTCTCAACTCGCCAGGTCAAGGTGAGCGTGTTGTTTGGGGTGACTAGGTACACGAGGTTGGCGGTTGGATCTGAGACTGCGCCTGCGGTACCCTGAAGAATGTAGGTGTTGTTTTGTATGACTGGTTTTGTTCTGACCGTGTCGAGTGTAATAGGAAGATGCAAAATGTCCACTACTCGTTCGAGAGCAAGAACCGGGTCTGAGAGAGTTGACTGTGTTATCGAACCGCCCGGTGGGAGGTTGCCCGCAAAGAAGGAGCTGCCATAGGAAAAGATCTCCCCGTTTTTGCCAATCTGAAAGCATGAGTACATTCTCTCAACTAAGGGGATAGATTGTCTTACGTTCACGTTGCACTCAGCGTCCTCAATGTCGATTCCATGCAGAGTCTGACGGAAGTACACATGCCCGACTCCGTTGTCTCCGATATAATGGTTGTTGATGATTCGAAAGCTTGTTTCTGGCGAGATGCTTCGAACAAGCCTTGTACCTGTTTCAACATAGTCGTCTTGCCCGAGTGAGGGATACTGCAGCGCGAGGTTATAGATAGTGGAGGAGTCCACGTACGTGGCTCTTGGTGTCAAGCGGAAGTGGTCGGGATCCACAAGGCTCCGGACTGGCCTTTGATGTGGACGGCCAGTACATAGCGGTGGGAGCACTCCCAAGGCTCCTATACATAGCAATGCGCGCATCCAGTCAGGCTCTTGGCCGATTACGGACCTAGTGTATAGTCTTGCAGAAGAGTAGATTGGACCCAAGTATAGCTTTCTGATAGGGCACCAGCCTGCTTTAAGAAGTGAAGCCTAAGCCTGAAGCACGTTCCAGGCATGTTCTATGTAGAGCTTCGCTTCAAGGCAGTGCGTTGTATTACAGAATCCGGGTTGTATAACGTAGTAAGGCACAGCAGTTTCACGCGAGAAGCTAGTTGTTACATCAAGGGTCGGTTTGTACACCAACTTCGATTAGTAGTGAGACGGACTGTGATGGAAGCCTAAGATGTGCACGGTAGTTGATAACATCTACTTACCCGTGCATGTCATTAGAGGATAGAGACCTCCACGGAGGAAATACAAATCGATTGAAACTCAGTGGATTGTGATTATGATCTGTCCAGACTGGATTCTTCATTATTTTGGTTTGCGATAGACGCTCTGAAGTGAGAGCATATAATCAATCAAGATCTATAGCATAAAGTCTTGCTCTGGCCGTTAAGCCCGATCTTCAGCAAGGTCACACATCGCCTGAAAGTCTAATTAGCCTTATCCCAAGTTGAAATCGCCGATGTCAGTCGAGTCACCTGAATCGTGCCCCTAATACTGAAATGATATCCCATCTGTCGGCCTTTCGACGTATTCCTCCACCACGGCATCTCTGCTTCTTATGTTGACAAACGCTCTGCAACAGAAGCATGCCGGGAAGGGACAATCAAAATTCAACTGCAGAGTAGAATTTTTCAATCCAAGACTCGATATTTGCGTGAAAAAGACGATCCAACGAAGATGCGATGCGCTGTACTCTCGCCTGGCTTTTGGCTGGTCTCCGCGTCGGCAGTCCCCGAGCGGGCCCAGCCGAGCTGAGAGGTGTCGACAATACTCAAAAAAGCAACACTGGTCGTATAAGTACGAGTATCAATGACGGCCCAATCTGCTAAAATTGATGCGTCCATCAGCAGGAAAATCAACCAAGGGGCGGGAGGGAATGCGGCTGATCTGCAGGTTCATGACTTCGGATGGTGACAGGGAGCCGTAGAGTGAGGTAGTACAGCAATGCAATCGCCCAAACAAAATAGCTGCAAGGTACGGTTTATCAGATAATCCCGCTGAGCCACTCTTTCGCAACGGGTCGATCCCTTGAATGATGTAAGTATGGGCGTTTTTCTTGCTACCAAGTATAACAATTCTCTATCCCTTGACTCGCCTTGTGTGCAGTGCAAGTTAAGTCAAAACAACAACGCTTCGTACTTTTGCCCCAGATTCCAAGTCTGGTCTAGAATCTTGCCTGGAATCCTGGGGCATCTCACCAGCAACCTCGAAACATGAGGGTTGCTGAGTACTGTGCTGCTCTCGGAATTCTTCAACAAGTGGAGTAGTCCCGTCGCTCCATCGGGTGGTCGAACTTTGCTCTGGGCAGGTGTCGCATCGAAGGGATGAGTGGAGCTGTTGCTGCAGCTATGCGTTTCATGCAGGAGAAACTCTGAAATCAAGGTATACGGACTATACAGCTGCCCGCACGGATACCTTGAGGATCGTATCCCAGGAAGTTCAAGATCCCGCCGAGACGCACAAACGAGTATTGAGATCTCGACTGAATGTATTATGGACAGGCATGATAGCTGCCCCTGTTTGTGGATGGATCCAGCCATCATACACATTCAGAAGCACTGCAGGAACCATGGCATGATGTTGTAGGTATGTAATAAATCAAATAGATTGGTAGGGATCCATTTCATGAAGTATCCCGATTCGCCCGGAAGGACTCCATTTTCCACCACTAAAGTTTAGTAGGAAGGGAAGGTTTGGTGCCTGAGGGGAAGAAACAAAAGACAATTATTCCACCATTATTGATCATTGACTCTGGAGCTATTCTCAATTGAACAGAACTGTCATTGTTGCAGTTACTGCTTCGACTTCAAGTCTCTTCAAGTCTCTTCAAATCCCTGCACCTGCATAGCAGTCACTTTGCCAATCAACTAACTAAACAACCGGACATTGTTTGTTGAGGGATTGCCCACGGTCCAGGAACGTGGCGGGGACCAGCTGCGCGTTCCCTGTCGAGAACGACTAATCCCTATCGGCGAACCCCAAAAGTGGAGAGGGCCACCCACTAAATACTGCAAGTACGGAGTACTCACTCGCAAGATCAGCCCCTGAACTCCTGAGCACTGGAGACCATAACTTGACCACCACCACTTCTGCTGGGATTTTGTCATTCTCCTCTGCTCAAGATAATATCTAGTAATGGATGGAGAGTCCTTTTGAAGACTAATTTCTCCCTTTTCCAGCCTAGTGTCCCCGCTGCCCTACCTGGAGGAGACAGACCCGTTCTCTAATCGTCGGATCCCCCAGCCTTCTTCCCTATCTAGAACGTTCACTTTCCAAGTCACCCGTCGGTCGCATTTTGAGCTTGTCATCGTCGTTCTTCCCCTCTCTTCCCCCCCTCTCCTTCATCCGCCTCCACACACCCACTTCACACCTTCTTTCTCTCTTCCGCCTCTGAATTCACTACAAATACACTACGCTGTGATCACTTCCGGACCAAGCAAGTCGTTGGTCTCCAATGCGGCTCCCGTCATGTCGCTCAATGGGCTCGATCATCCCACCGTCATCGAAGCCTATCAAACCGCTTTGACCGAGGCCGGCGGATGGTGAGTCGCTTCCCCTTCCCCTCTCACACCAACTACTCTTCTTTCATCCCCTGCGCCCGCTGTTTCTCCGGTCGCAAGGGTCTTCGCATTCGTCCCAATCGCACACAAAGACTCATGCGCATGACTGTTGTCGTTTAGGTTTCTGCTCCGGTATGTATCAAGGGATGAGGTAGCTCTCCTCGAGCGAGGGACAGGTGGGGTCCCGGATGTGCGCAATGCAATCGAAGGTTATGAAGAGACGTCACCGCTCTATGGCTTTCTCCAATACCGCCGGCGAAAGGTCGTGCTCAGCTACTTGCCCGATGGCATGTCTCGGCTGCTTCAAGGTGCGCGACTTTCGTCAGTCCTTCGACCTTGATTTCCCCTCACGCTGACGCAATCGTTACCCCTTCAGCTCGAACGACGGTACAATTCCAGTCCATATTAGACAAGTTCTCGCCGCATGATACGGTCTTCTCGGTGAAACAGCCATCGGAACTCACTGAAAGCGCCCTGTCATCCGCATGCTTGCTACATACGGCTTCCGGCTCAATTACCTCCTCGTGCAGCTCCCTCCGCCGTCGCAAACTGATGGAAATCGCGGAGGATGCGGAAGAGCAGCACGTAGACAAGGACCCAGCCCCAGCAATACCACCGATGAGCGAGATGCGACAAAGAGCCTACAGTCAGATTTCCGAAGCCACGGTAGTTCCCCCATCCGTGGCGTCCAGTGTACAACAGTCGCCCATTGGTCCTGAGTCGAGTGTGACAACCCTGGAAAGCGTTCCAGGTAGAGATCGGTCCTCTTCAGTAGCCGCTTCGGAACGTGCACCTTCCCTTAGAAACTTTCAGGAGGACGCTACTCAGGCTGCTTCCGAGCCTCGCAGGTCCTCACAGTCGACCCGGCCATCCATAAAGGAGATTGATCGTGCAGCTGGATACGTACCCAAAGCCAAGCTTGGCCCGCGGCCGTCATTGGACGGGAGTGGACGGCCTCGCACTGCAGGCACCCTGTCGCGGTCTGCTGACAAGCGACCGGTAGCCTCGTTGCCTGCGGGGGTTCGGTCATCGTCCTTGCGAAAGGCCAACCCGAGTCCTTCGCGTCCTTGGTCTCAGGGGGGCAGCAGCACACCCGCATCTATCAAAGTGCCTACTGTACCGCCTTTGCTGGTGCCTCCATTGTCGACACCTATATCTCGACCCAAACTGTCTCCGGGTGCCAAGTCTCTGAGTGCGTTATCATCGGGGGCATCACAAGAGAGAGAACGGTTGATGAAGGCACTTCAAATGCGGAAAACGCAATTGGCGAAGAAAGCAAGAGAAGAGAAGAAGAACGAAGCTGCTGACAAAAAGGGGGCAGTGAAATCGGATCCGACCGAGAATAAGGAGAATACCAACTCCCAGCTCCCTGAAGAAGTCAAACTCCAGGACAAGCCGGTACCAGTTTCGGAACCCGGCAACAAGCCCCTATCTGAAACGGAGGGAACCATGACTCCTGGGGAATTACAAAAGGAGGAAGGGAGCCCTACAGTTCCCGGTCAGACGAATTCCGGGTTGTGCCTGCAGGAGGCTGATACGGCGACCCCTAATCCTCCAGCATCGACCGACAAAAACAGCCGCCAGATTGCAGCAACTACTAAAACCTCCCAGCCGACATCCACCCTGTCGGAATCTGAAACACACGCTTTAGAAGGGGCCTTGGCTGCGTCCGACAACGGGGAGACTACGGGTGGCCCCTGCACGCCTAGCGCCGTATTCCACGTCCCACCAGAGAACGATTCTGGAAAAGCTCCGAAGGAAGAAATTGTTGGCCCCTCGCCACCCCAAACGGATAACAACAGCAACATTCCTCTTGTTCCTGGCGAACAAGAGGTCAATTCGACTTCGGAATCAATTATCCAGGCTCTTCAATCCGAATCAAGTCCTCGGCCCAACTCTCCTTCTTTCATTTCGCGCCCAACTCCTTCCCCCGATTCGCCGTCGATCACCGTGCCTCATTCTCCCGAGCCGCAGCATGACCTGACCCCTGAATCCTCGAATGTGGAGCGACAGCATAGTACTACTCGAAAGGAGAAACGCAAACCTTACCTTGAACCCATTCAAGTACCTACTCCAGACTACTCTGATGACGAGAACCTTCTCTCTGACGATTCTTTCATGGAAGAATTAAAAAGTGCCACCGTTGAAGAGGCCAAGCCGATCTCGGTCGGCATCTCACCCCTCTCCCCCGGATACTCGAACACAAGCAACGGCAACACCTCGCCCAACGCGTGGAGGAACTCCCGTGCCGTCTCAAATCCAAGCGCTATTGGACATCAATCCCCCGAAATGCAGGCATTAGCCATGGGTCGGTCGGTGTCGTCCTCGTACGCCGATGCGGGAGACAGCAACAGCCCCGTCCTAGTGGCCAAAAAGATCAATGTCTCGTCCGGCATCTCCAAGCGCATCAAGGCGTTGGAGAAGTTCTCCAACACCCGCGAAACCACCCCTACCGCTGGCCAGACCCTGGCCGCTCCTTCCTTCGAGTCCCTGCGTAAGGGCTATTCCGAGGCCTCGACGATCTCGAGACCTGTTTCCTTCTACCCCGAATCCTTCTCTCGCACAACCAGCCTACGGCGTCCTGTATCTCAGGCTGGTCCTGGTCTCACGCGTAGTGCGAGTTCGGTCTCCGTGACCGCTCGCATAGTTCGTGAGCGTCCTTCCACCGGAATCGAACCAACCACCGATTCCCCTGAGCCAAGCTCGCTCAACCTCCTTGCTAGTCCCCTGACTATCGAGCACAATACTATTCCCGATTTCCCTATTCCACCAACTCATATAGCCGAGCCGGTGGTCACGCCAGCTGAGGAGCCGAGCGTGTCCGCGGCTTCTGAGGCATTGGAACAGCAACCCTCCGCTGCGTCTATCTCGCGATCTGAGAGCAGGTCGTCTCATTTCTCAACCCCCAAGAATGAAGAAGCCATCGACGACACTCCCTCACCTGATGTACCCTCTTCTCCTGACGAGAAGAAGACGTCCCGGACTTCCCGGCTCCTCCGTCGTATGTCGTCGATCACTTCTAATTCCCGCAAGACCGTCATGGCTGCTCTAAATCCAGTGGTCAACGAGGAAGAGACTGCGCCGAAAGACAAGCCGGAAGCTGCTCGTGAAGCCGCCCAAGCAATCGACATTGGCGAGGTCAACGTCCAGTTTCCCGATACTCTGCTGTGGAAACGTCGCTTCATCCGTATCGATGACAAGGGATATCTGGTGCTGACACCTGGAAACCTTGACTCGAGCAATCGTAACCTGGTTAAGCGATACCATTTGACCGAGTTTCGCACGCCTTGTCTTCCGGATGAAGATCGACAGGAACTTCCGAACAGTATCCTCTTAGACTTCAACGACGGAAGTACGCTTCAATGTGCTTGCGAATCGAGGAATGGCCAATCTTTCGTTCTTCAGAGTAAGTTGTCATCTCTCGCTGATATCGACATCGTTCGCTAACTTGGAAGCAGCATTGGTTGATGCTCACCGTAACTACGGTCAAACGCTGGCTCAATAGTCCCTTGCATTACTCTAGAGAACATTTGCATCCTCGTTCATCGCTTAACCATGCATACTCTCCGCCGTCTTTCTATATATTGTTACCCGGTGTTTTCAGCGGTATACCCCTCTAAAATGGACCATTTTGTTTACCAGCTGTTCGGTATCTGTTTTTAATTTCTTCAATCTTCAAGCTTTGTGCTTCACTTCTTGGGTTCTTGTGATTTAAGCACATCCCAGTCACTTGCTGTGGGCCTATTTGACATTCTCGAATTCGCGTGAACCCTCCGTCAGCATTGATGTGACTGGGTTTCATCTCCGGTTGGGCGCGCTTCGCTTTTTTCGAACAACCAGGCTCCAAGTCAGCCTGGTCAGTAGATCATTGAATATGGAATTGCATGATTCTGGTTGCCCATGTCGGAGGTCTCCGGACACCTGGTGGCTGTCCTAGTACTGTGGTCCTCTCGTCTATGGACGTTTAGTCCTGCTTTCCGCGGAATGTATTATCTACAACTCAACTGAGGTTTAGAAATGAAGCAAACCATCCACCCTTTTCATTAAAACGCCCAACCCAGATCAATTACAGATAGAATGAATTAGTTCTTTCCCTCGTCCTCATTTTCAGCGGCTCTCTTGTCCTCCCATTCTTGCAGGAACTGCTGCACCTTAGGGCCCCAGACCTCCTCGCCGGCCTCGAGGTCCTTGTACTCGAGCACCTTCTCGGGCTCGAGCACGAAGTCGGCCTGACGAGAGCGGACCAGGGAGCTCATCAGTCCGCAGCTGCCGACGGCCTTGCCCAGGTCGTGCGCCAAGGAGCGAACATAGAAGCCGGACGAGACGGTCATGGTGATCTTCACAGCGGCGGGCTGGGGCCGAGCGGGTGCCTCCTCCTTCTTCTCGGTTGCTTCCGGGACGCTTGACGACTCCGCCGCGGCGGCCTCCCCAGACTGTGCAGGAACGCTGTCACCGTCCTCAGACACCTTGACCTTCTTGGCAGCGGGGGCCTCCTCGGACTCTTCCGCGCCAGCCGCGGGGCCACTTCCCTCCTCAACTTTGGGAGCCTCAGCCTCAGCCTCAGCCTTCCGCTTCGCCGACCCCTCCACCTCCGCCTCCGCCTCCACCTTCCCCTCCTCAGCAGCCTCCCCACCCTCCCCAACCGACAAAGCATCCTCCTTCCTCAGCATGCGCTCGGCAACCTCCCTCTCCTCCCCCACGGCCTCCACCTCAGGCCACTTGTACCCGTGCGTCCCCGGCTCGAACCACTCGACGACCCTCAAATCCAAAACCTCGACGGGCCTCGCCTTGATCTCGACGGGCGGCTCGACCCCCTCCCGCGCATACTCATACAGCCGCTTCCCCTGCACCCGCAACGCACTGAAGATGGGGGGCCGCTGCATGATCTTGCCGCGGAACTGGTCGAGGGCGCGCTCGACCGCGTCGCGGGTGACGTGCTCGTAGGGGGCGCGCCGCACCACCTTGCCCAGGACGTCGTAGGTGTCGGTCTCGGCGCCGAACAGCACCACCGTCTCGTAGGTCTTGGTGCACCCCAGGAAGTTGTTGAGGTACTTGGTGCCCTTGCCGACGCCCGCCACCAGCACCCCCGTCGCCAGCGGGTCCAGCGTGCCCCCGTGCCCGATCTTCAGGTCCAGGCGCTGCGTGCGCCGCCGCCGCCGCTGGAATTGGTTCTCCCGGTCGCGCCGCGCGCGCTCGTGCGCCAGCCACGGCTGGAAGAGCGCCGACGGGTTGAAGTGTTTCTGGAGCGTGCGGATCACGTCCGCGGAGGTCACGCCTTGGGGTTTGTGGACGGCTGCGTTTTTTGGATTGAGTTTGTTAGTTGGGTTGGATATTGAGTGAGAGAGTAAGGAAGATAGAGAAGGAATGACAGTGGAGTTGAGGGTAAGGACCAGGGCTCATGCATACCGAATACGCCTTCGTAGATCTTTTCTCCGCTCATGGTGGTGCGGAAGAGCTTGAAGCTGCGGGGGAGGCCCATCGGCCGCGAGAGGGGTGAGTATGGAAGAGCTTCGCAGGTTCAGAGGAAGTGAATTGTGAAAGCGCGATTCAAGCACTTCAGATCAACAGTCCGTGATTGTAGCTCGTGGAATCGGCAGAATTGATGAATTAAATGCTGGGCCAGACAGACCATCCGGAGAAGGATTCTAAATTTCGGCTCGCTGCCTCGCAATTCTGCCGGTTTAGTCTAGGCGGTCCGTCCGGCGGTCCGCAACGGCAGAACCATGTGTAGCCCGCCATGTTGCTGTTGTCGGAAATGACCGCCCATCCCGGAGCATTGAAGTGAGTAAGTTAGTAGTAACTTAATGGTAGTAGTAGTTCGACTGTCATGCGCCCGTAATTACCAGGAATTCACTCTCTCATCCCCGCAGTTTAATGTGTAATGATACGTAATTTCTCGGATCTCGCTCCCTCTCTCTCTCTCTTGGTACACTCTAAGCTTCTCCTCTCAGCTCCCCTCGTTCCTGTGTGTTCCTCTTGCCAGTCTTTTCCCCAATTATAGATTCCTTTCGTTCTCCTCTCCAACTGGTCTTTCCTCATAATATCTTTCATTTACGCAGAACCCCTCAAACTATCCAAGGCATCAACGTTCAGGTCGCTCTCCGGTTTACCCAAACTCTCACCTCAATCCCCATTGCATCAGCACCGCAGATAACAATATGCTCCCCCCACCACCAGAGACATGACCTCGCGCGAAGATAACGTCCTCGCCACTCGCGATCCGGCTCTGACGGACGAGAACGAGTGGGAGGAATTCAGCCTGTCCGAGGTCCGCGTTTTGTTTCCGGGAAAATCCCGCTATGCCAATCTCCTCACAGCCTCGCCGGACAATCCTGTCCAAGTAACGGGGTGTTTGGATGAAGTGGAGGAAGAACAGGAGTCTCTGGGTTTGTCCCCCCTCATATCTTTCCCCATTGATAGGATTGAATGTTGCGCTACTGCGAGTTGGATGATGCTGACATCATCCTGTGAATGATAGTGCTCGATCCGGAATATCTTACCAAACGCATTGTCCTAGAGAATGTCACGCACTACGCCTATGGCCAGCATAATGACGGAGAAGTTGGGTTTTGGGTTGCGGGGCGGGCGGGGTGGTTCTCCATCTCTCCGGCGAAGGGCTACAAACCGATGTTCAATGAGGTAGTGGAGGCGATCGATCTGTTATATTTTCTAGCGGATCGACACAAGCGCAAGAGGGGTAGGAGGAAGTTCGAGGGTCCCAGTGTGGAGTATCTATTTGAGGAGGTGAGTGTATTTCCCTCTGCCCTGTATACCTACAAGGACAGAAAAGTTGGACGAGGGTTAAAACAGAGAAACAAGACCTGGCACAAGGATAAGACATGGCTGGCGCGCGCATGCTCGGGATGCATGGCGATTGGATGATTCAAGGCTAATGTCTCGGCTCTCTGCCTTTTGCCTAAACAGTATGTCAGCCACACGCATGGGATCTGCGAAGATGCAGATGATTCCGCCGAGGTGTTCTACAAGCATCATAACTTCTTGCTGTCACGGATGTTGAAGGGGGAGGAGAATGTGCAGTGGTCGACAACGCATATTCTCGCCCACCTGAGCGAAAGATTTCCAGTATGTCTCGGATTTTCTTCTCCTATTCGAGTATGGGTGCTGATCTGCGGCGATAGGAGGATTATGAACAGATCAAGGCGCAGATTGAAGGCGTGGACGAGGTCGAATCTGAGGAGGAAGAAGAGAGTACTCCCGAGAAGACGGACGATGAAAAAGGCCGCGTAGCAGACTCGTCAGGGTTGACGAACGCCGATGCGAATTCGATTTACCAAATGATCCTCGATCTCAAGGAAGAGGGTTACTTGGCTAAGCGCCAGCTAAATCTCGACCTTGTCGCATCTACGCTGGTCGATCGATTCGAGATTGACGACGACGAATATGCGCACAGTCGGATTGCGGCAAGCGCCGAAGTCATCCTAGAACTGATGGATGAGGCGAAAACATCTTCATTTGACTGGTCCAGAAAAGTCATCTATCGCGAGCTGAGGGCGGCTTCAAAGCAACATGGTGGACCTTCGCAGGAGGCGATGACCCCGCTGCGTCCGCGCATGTTAGAAAGCGAGGCATCCTCTCCTGAAGACAGCGACCAAGAAGACCTTCCCCGATTGCGCAAACGTCGAGTCCTCAAGTCCGTTCTGCGGCCTAAGAGTGCAGTGGCCACGAAACGAACGGGCAAGCGCACGCGCAGTGCAGCAGCCGACACGGACGAGGAATCCGACACCAATGCAGACGCTATGGACGAGTTCGAAACGCCCAGCAAGGTGCGAGGGCACGAGCTTGTCCGCGATCCGCTATCAACCCGCGCCAAACGCAGGACGCGGTCGATCTTGTCCGACTCGGAGTCCACAGCACCTTCTATACAGAAGACCTCGCTGCAGGATGTTTTCCAGAGCCGCAACACGTCCGTCTCCGCTGCCGATATCGACGCACATCCTCACGAAGAGCCCGCAGCGAATGGCACTAACGGCGAGGATGTACAGTCGGATACATGGACATGCCAGGTCCGAGGCTGCGGCAAGGTCGTGTACAAGTGCAGCACGAAACGCGGCAAGCAGCTGATCGAGGATCACTCGCTGGCTCACGCGGATGATACCAAAGCAAAACTCGATCTAGTTTTTGCGGAACAGCGACTCAACATCGGCCTCCCTGTGGATAACCTTCTCAAACGTATCCGGGAGATGGCAGGAGGGGAGGACACCGGCCTTGCGGATACGGAAGGCGCGATGAACGGCGCTTCCGACGCAGTAGGAACGTAACCGGCAAGCATAGAACGATACACCAAGATACCCACATGAAGTGACGATGATGATGGCTGCTCTTTCCAGCACAGAAATGAGTGTTGCGGTACTCGGGTCAATATCCATCATGGCAGGCCGCCTAACCATGAAAGGCTAGACATACACCTACGGTGTAAATACCGGTTCCTCGTATTAATTGTCCCCAAGTCCCAGAGCAGGTAAACAATGTGACTGAGAAGCCACCTTTACCGGTGTGTCTGAGCACAAGACCGAGCAACAGGCTCACACCACATTATCGGAGATGCAATGGGTCGCTTCCATAGTATGATGATATGACACCACAATGAGATACCACTTTTAGCCCTTCCAACTACATAGTACACAACCGCAATAGCGATTTATCACGTGCCGTCCAACCATAACCATGGATTAGTTCAATATACACAAGTTTCATAACCCTGACCAAGCACAGTCACGGTGTCTAATGGGGTGTGGTGGGGGGAGGGTAAAAATTGAAACAATTGCTTTTTGTAAAACAGAAACCCAAGCGACCCTCATCCGGTATCCGAGCAAGCTAGAAAAAAATGAAACTGTAGGAAACGGAAACGATGAAGAAAAAGAGAATCAAGCACGACCCTTGGCAGCAGCTCTCCTGCTCTTACCAGGTCTCTTGGCGCCGCCGCCGCCACCACCACCACCTCCTCCCCTCGAACCGCCCTTCATCTTCCGGACGGAGAAATCGCGCATATCACCACTCGAGACGGCATCACCGCTCTTGGAGTGGCGCTTCTTCCCGCCGAAGCCGTACTTCTCGTTCTTCTTCTGACGTTTGGCGTTGGTGGCGCCGTCGCTGCCAAAGGCACGTTTCCGGTTGTTGGGCTGGGCATCGTCGATGGCGATGTCGAACATCTCGTTGGCGTTGTCGGCCTCGCCGGAGGTATCAGCCTTGCGCTCTGTGGGAGGCAGAAAGTTAGCGAGGTGTCCGAATCGACCCGACCCCCCATAAGAAGCAGCAGGTAAAAGCAAAGTTTGGGGGCGGGGCATACTCTTCTTCAGATCATTGATCTTCTCCAAGGTCTCGCGCTTCTCCTTGGCGCGCTGCTGCAGCTTGGCAACCTGGACCTGCTTGCCGAACTTCTTCAGGTCGCGCTGCTTGCGGGCCTCGGCGGCGGCCTTCTTGGCGGCGGCCTCGTCGTACAGCTTCTTCTTGATCTTGTCCATGTGCTCGTCCGTCTTGACCATCTCGGCGAAGTAGTCGCCGGGGCGGGTGAAGGGGATGCCCTCCTTCTTGAGCAGGGCGCGCGCCTGCGTCGCCGCCGCCTGGCAGACCTTGTAGAAGGCGAGCTCGCGGGTGAGGTCGTCGTTGGCGTCCGGCACCTCCATCTCCTCCTTCGACACCAGCGAGTTGTGCTCCGAGAAGGGGGTCTGCGCCGAGATGAAGGAGATGCGCTTCAGCGAGGCCGTGATGGCCGCCGAGTTGTTGATGGTCAGCCGCTGGTGCGGCACCACGTCTTCACGCTCGTCGTCCTCGAGGTCGCTCAGCGGGATGTCGGATTCTTCGGCTTCTTCGTCTTCCTCCTCTTCTTCCTCTTCGGCGGCGGATTCGTTCTCGGATTCTTGGTCTTCGGCAGATTCTTTCTCTTCCTCCTCCTCCTCCTCCTCCTCCTTCTCGTCTCCCTCCTCAACCTTCGACTTCTTTGCTTTGTCTTCCTCCTTCTTATCCTCAGCCACCTCCCCCTTGGCCGCCTTCTTCTTGTTCGCCGCCCTCACGAGCTTCTTCTGCTTCTCGGCATCGTAGTCCCGGCCGCGGTGCTCGTCCAGAGCTTGGAGCAATTTGCTTCTCTTCGGCATTGTGACGGTTTCTGTGTATTTCCGGTTGTAGACTCCGGATCTTTTAAGTAATAAGAAGGGAGAAAAAGATCACCGAGTTGTGGTGAAAGTGAAGGAGATCCTGTGGGACTTTGACTTCTCGAATCTTTGCGGCGGGAATTTTTTTGGACGGCAGGCTAGACTGTCTTGGGATTAGTGGCTACGTCCTGCTGCTGAGGGTGGGGCGGTCGGTTTGGGTGCCTGGGGCAAGCACAGGGTAGATGTCTGGGCGGTGAGAGGTTGCCACTCATTGAGGGCCTTGTGGCCTGAGGCAGAAGTCGGCTACCGCTGGTCAGACTAGGCTTGATTTGGTAGTTTGATTGGGCTTCATACTTTGTAGGAGCGTCTTACCGGATATATCCTTGGAGAAGAATATGGAAGTTTCACTTGGTTTCTAAGTATAAGTCTACTTATCTTATGTAAAGGTTGATATGACTTGGGTGCAATAGACTACGATTAGTTTGGTGCGATATACTACTTGCTTGGATCATCAGAGACAAGTTACCTAGTATAGGTATGCTTTCAGGTGGTCTATTTTCAGTGATTCCATAATCCTAGGAACTACCTATATGGCATACTAAGGAGACAGTCTGTGTGCCTGAAAGACATTTAACTATTGGAGTGATCATCGAAAAAATGGGAAGAACAATAAGGCAGTCTTTAGTACTCCGTAGCATCTATACAACCTCGCTATATCTCTCGCTTAAAATACCACGCTAATATGTGCAAGGCCCCCTTATAGATAGCGTCCTAGCCATCCTACTATATACCGTTGGCAGTCAGAATAGAATCTCCCAGGAATTACACCCATAAGCTCCCCACCAGACCGGCCATCATCTCCAGCCCTCACCCAAGCCCACCTATGCACCAAACCACCCCCCCGAAAACACCCAACCTACCGAACAAGAACCACCTTCCCCCTCCCCTCATACCTTCCATTAGCGAACTCATAAGCCTCCCGCACCCTCTCAAACGGATATGTCCGATTCACCATCGACCCCAACGCCCCGGCCCCCGCCAACCCCGCCAGCCAGCGCAACTCCTCCCCACCCCCAGCCACAACGAAGAACAGCGCACGAACATCCCCCCTCCATATCCCACGCTCCTTATGCCGTTCCACAAAATCAAAGCTGCCCGAATCCACCGAAATCAGCACCCCGCCTTCCCTAACACACCCCCAGCATCGCGCCAACACCTCCCCGCCCACCGCATCAACCACGGCATCAAACCCCGCCTGCGACTGCCGCTGCTTTGTGGCTGTCTCCAGATCCGCATATTCAACCGTCTCATCCGCCCCCAGCCCGCGCAGGAACTCCCCGTTCCGGACATCCGAGCTCGTCGCAGCGACGACGTGGCACTCCTTCACAGCGGAAGCAAGCTGCACCAGATGAATCCCCACGGCGCCGGCGGCGCCTGTTATCAAGATCCTGATTTGTGGAGCATCCAGCTCATCTTCCTGTGAGACGGACTGGGCTGAGTGGAAGTTGGATGATTTTCTCCGCTTCTTGTCCATGATATTCTGTGCAGCATCTTCGATCGAAGGCAGCGCAATCACGCCGGAATGCACGAACAGCGCCTCGTACGCCGTCAGCGCACTCAGCGGTAACCCCGCCGCTGCCTCCCAGCTCAGTCCGGCGGGCTTGTGCGTGATTTCTTCGGCGCTGACGACGGTATACTCCGCCCAGGTGGCGGCGCGGTCGGCGTGCGCCATGCCGAGGACCTCGTCGCCGGGGTGGAAGGCGCTGCTGCTGCTGTCGAAGACTTCTATGACGGTGCCGGCGAGATCGTTGCCGGGGATGGCGTAGTCGTGGTGGTAGGTCTCGGGCCAGGTGAGCATGTCCCGGACTATGGTTGTGGCGTGAACGCGGATGAGGAGCTCGCCCGGTCGAGAGGGTTTGGGGATGGGGATTTGCCGGTCCAGGTGGAGGGCGGAGGCCGGGGCTGGGTTTGTGGGGGAATATGGGTTGGGGCTGGTGGAGGGAGCGGGGTGGAGGCGGATGGCTTGCATTCTTGTTGCTGTTGGAGTTGGGGTGATGGGTTGCGAGGTGGTGCTGTGGTTGATGAGTGTGAGGATGGAGTGAGTAGGGTTAATAGTTAGATATGTGCTTGCTTTCGTGTATGGAGGTCCATGGGCATGGGAATAGTGGAACTGTGAAAAGGGGAGAAATAATAGCCTCCCTGAATGAAGGATTAAAAAGCTATATAGGACAAATGCAGCTGTGGAAGACGTTCAGTCTGGAGGGAGTATCCCGTATCCCGTATCCCGTATCCCGTATCCCGAATAGCCTATCCGTTGGATACCCGGACACGAACCCCCTCACCCTGAGTAACCGGCGAGCATCAACACTCAAGCTATTCTATCAGGCTATTAAAGGCAATCTCAAATGGTAGCCCGACTCTAATCCTCTTGCGCTTTCCAATCCAATCCCACAAGCATAAAGGAATCCCATCCCCCGCACCAACAGTCCAAGTAAACTGGAAGGCCCATACAACTTCCCTAAAAACCCACCCTCGAACTATACAATACACCCCTCATAATGGAAGAACCGACCTACGACCCAAGGTACATCCCTCACATGCACACCCTCATAGCTACACTAACAACACAAGCCGCCCCCTCGCAACCACCACCCTCGTCTACCAATACAAACTAGTCAATTGCCCCGGCAAGACCATCGTTGGCCTGCTGGTCGAATACCCCCCCAACGGCGCCACGCCACCTCACCGACACGGCGGCGCGTCCGTGTCAGCCTACGTGATCAGGGGCGCCGTGCTGTGCAAGATGAACGACGACCCGATGCGGACGATCGAGCAGGGCGGGTCGTGGTACGAGGCGCCTGGGTGTCATCATCGGATCAGCGCCAACGCCAGCGCGACGGAGCCGGCGGCGTTCTTTGTGAGCTTTGTGCTGGAAACGGAGTTGTTGGAGCGGGAGGGGCCGGGGGTGCTGGTGCAGATTGATGAGGAGTATAGGGAGGTTTTTGCGAGGAAGATGACGGAGGCGTGAGTTAACGCACTTCCTCGGGCTTTTCAGTAGAGGTGCCCTGGGAGACTCAGTCGCTTCGTTGTTTTTGTGCTCAATCAATTGCCTCCCTGGCTAGATAATCTGTATATGTTTCTCTTTATCTCATGATCAAACAGAGGCAAATTGAAGTAGTGGTTGAGGATTAATGCAGCCTTGATACTCGGTAGTAGAAGATGATGACGGAAGTATAGAACGAAGTAAACCGCCGCTAATCCCGAACGGGCACGCCATACCCTTTGCGGTACTTTGCTTGTTTCCGTGCCTTACTTTGCCTCCAGCTCCATCAACGAACAACTGGTATCAGAGCTCATCCTTCATACTTGCTTTTCAATCTACAATCTCGGAGTTCACACTCAGTGCTCAATACAAAGAAAATTACCCTCAACCATTCTGTTACCCCTCAACTCTACACCACGCCCAAGCCCACCACGGAAGCGGACACCCACCGGGCAACCTTCCGACCCATCGCCGCGCCGCCGCGCCGCCGCGATTCCCTCCGCCCCGTCCCCTCCATACCTAACTTATCAACCTCCCAACTTGAAAAGCCCCTCCAATCCAGCGACACCCAACACAACACAAGACCACCACCTCAAACCGAAGAATAAAGTACAGCAAAATGACCGAAGAAACCAAATCCCTTCCTCCTCCGCCTCCACCTCCCCCACCCCCAGCTACCACGGTCCGTCTACCGCTACCCCTGCCCCTGCCCTGCCCATCACCATCACCATCCCCCTCCCTATCCTCTCTGCGCACATAAAATACCACCTCCCCTCCCCTCCCCTGTCAACCCAACTATACCAAACACTAACACCCCAAAGCTCTCCCCCCAACCCACCACAACCACCCAAACACCACCAACAACCAGCACCCCCACCCCGGCCCCGGAAATCCAATCCGAACTCAACGCCGCAGTCGACGACCTCCTCGACCAACTCCAACATAAATTCGACGGTGTCTCGCGCGAGATCTTTGGGAAGTGTGCGTTCTACCCATTTCCTTTCCCTCCTTCGATCATTTTATCCTACGGAACCTACAGCTCCCACGGCTCTCCTACGGCTCCTACGACCGCCAGGGGCTCTATCTGCTGCACTGGAATGGGCAGGCAGAGGGGGGCTGTGGTTATGCGATGCGATGCGATGCTAACTCTATTCGGGGGTGTAGTGGACGATATGGCGCGGCGGTTGGATGAGTTGGAGGCTTCGTTGGCGTTGTTGGATTCTTCTGCTCCTGCTGGTGCGGGGGCTACTGCTGAGGGTGGGGGTGGGGGTGGGGGTGCTGTCGCTGGGGCAGCGGGGGATGCGGCTGGGAGTGCTAGTCCGGGGAAGTGAGGATGCTTTCTTGGGTTGTGGCTGGGGGGGTTTGGGCTGGGGGGAGAAATGGGATAGGGGTGATATGGAGGTGGAGGAGGGTGGGTGCTTGGGTTTTGGACTCGGGGCATTGCGTTGGTATTGGTATTGCTCTGATGGCGTTTCTCTTCTCGGTTGGGGTTTGTTTTGGGAATTTGGGGTGGTTGGTCATCAGGACTGGAGAGAGATGTTGGAAGTGTACTGTATACAGTCGGGTGGTGTGGTTTTTACTGTCGACTTGGTTTAGATACCCCCTGTTTTAACTTGCGTTGCAATCGCGGCTTGTGTTGAGCATACTTTCTTTTTTTCCTGGGGGAGGAGGCTAGCATAGATGAGCATCCTTATCATCATCGTCATAGAATCGCTTGATTTTCCCTGGTATCATACAAGGACCGATTGATAAGTTCACTAGAGACACAACACAGGACCGAAGTCACAGCCGTAGCACCCTGCATCTTCCAATCCGCTTGCCCCCCCCCCCCCCTCAAACGAAAACACAAGATGTCTACAACTCATCCTTCTCCTCGTGGGCCTCCTCCAGAACAAACTGGCGCAGGATGTTACTGCGCGAGACGAGATCATCCAGCTTCTCCGGGGCGGAGCCGCCCTTGGCGAGGATCTTCTCCAAGCGGGCCAGCTCCTTGGTGACGTACTCGGCGTTCTGGCTCAGCTTGTCGGCAACCTTGACGTAGTACGGGGCGTACTGGTCGGTCAAGCCCTCGGCGGCCTTCTTGATCTCCTCCTTCAGGGTGGCGGAGGTGGGGCCACCGGCCACGATCAGCTCGTTCAGCGCGGCGATGGTGCCGGCCTGGGCGTTGAGCCCGCCGCCGACGGCGCGGTGGGTGCCGGCGTGCTCGTTCAGGAAGTCGACGAAGGCCTGCTCCGAGCGCGCCCCGTTGTACACGGTCGCCTCCGTGGACCCGCGCGGGAAGAACTTGATGGTCGGGTAGCCCGTCACGCCGTTGGCCTTGGCGGTGGCCTTGCTGTTCTCGCCCTCGGCGTCGACCTTGGCGATCACCACATTGGCCTCGCGCGCGAAATCGTTCGCCAGCGTCTCCCAGGTCGGAGCCAGGTTCTTGCAGTCTACGTTCCCCATCACAGGTCCATTAGGATCATCATCGTTCCAGAAGGTAACAAAAAGGGAAGAGGAAAAACTCACGCCCACACCAAGGCGCCGTAAACGCGACCAGAACATCCTTCTCCCCACCCACGACCTTCCCGAACGTCTCATCCGTCAACATCTCGACGGCACTGGGCTCCTTGGCCGCACCGCCGCGGGGCTTGACGCCCGTCTTCTCCGTGATGAACGCCGACAGACTCTCGAGATCCCGTCCACCCTTGTAGTCTTCCGGAGTGTCACTCTTCCCGTCGAACCACTTCAGCGTGGGGAAGCCCTGGACCCCGAACTTCCGGCCCAGGTCGCGGTGCTCGTCCGCGTCGACCTTGGCGACGGTCACCTTGTCGGTGGCGTGGGCGAAGGCCTGAGAGAGCTCCTCGTAGGTCGGGGCCAGGTTCTTGCAGTGGCCGCACCAGGGGGCGAAGAACTCGACCAGCGCCGGCTTGCCGGACTGCAGGACGATCTCGTCGAAGTTCTTGGGGACCAGGTCGACGACGGCCGCGCTGGCGGTCGCCGCTGCCAGGGTCAGGTAGCTGGCCAGATGGCTGAGGCGGACCATCTTTCTTTTCTTCTTGTTGTGTAGTGGTTGGGGATGGATGAATGTTCAGCAAGAGGGGAAAAGTGGGCAGGTTCAAACTGCCGATGATGGAACCGGGGGAGAGTTTGTTGATGAAGTAATAAAGTAATAGCCCAAATGTAGCGCGGTTGGGGGAAGCTTCCGCGGCGGAAAGACTGCGGAGGCCGAAGCGGGTCGGAACCGGAAGAGGACACTTGGTAAGTTGTTAACAATGTATTATTATCATCACTAAGCAATCAGCTCCTCCCAACTTGCCGTATTTGCTTATAAGTACGAAGTACGGGTAGATTAATCAACATGCATGATCAGGTTGATTGTTAATCATTCACCTATTTACTCAGAGCTAGGGGAGGTCGGCGTTACGGAAGTGCAATGCTCAGCATAGTTTCGCCACCGGCCACAACACAATCCCGGCCCATCCGATCCCATCCACCAACAACCGGCCCATCACACCATATCTTCTCTGATAGTTCGCGCTAGATGGCTATATTTGCAGCACCTACATGAGCTTGGAATACTACGCGGGTTGCCGGACTGTCAAGCAGACTCTGGTCGGTACCTTAAATGGGTGATCGTGATGTCGTTCGTTGCTGGTCATGGACTAGCTGCTTTCATTGACCCGTGTGTCCATAGAGCAGAAGTCGCATCTCCAGTGATTCGTCACCGTCGCTCGGCGAGCCAGCGGTTTGCCTCTTCCCATTTGTTGCCGTCCTTAAACTCCCGTCCTGCGTTTTGCGATGCGCGGTAGACCTATACAACAATCAATATGTAGTCAACGCATATCCGCTGGAGTCACCTACCGCATCCCAGAGCTTGAATGCCATGTCGAGGTTGCCGGTAAAACTGTCGCTATGTTGGAACCATTCCTTGCCCTTGGCCTTGACCTCTGCCCGAGCTTCGGGCGATGTGGGATCGGCTTGCAGGGGCAGGTCGTCCAGGTAGGTGCGCACAGCGATTCCAAGACCGCAGTCATTGTCGTCAATGAATGGAAGCCTGCATCTGTCAGATACATCCCACATGAGAACTCCGGATTCACTCACTTGGCGCTCAACTCGCCCCAGTCTTTGCGGTCCCGCTCAGCGTCACCACTGAGCAGGAGACCAGCCAGGACCACCTCGATGAGGTTCCGTAGAGTAGAGCGAACCTCCGAGATCAACGAGCGATAACAGAGCAGCTGCCTACTCAAGGGACCCGAATACCCAATGCTCTTGTGTTGTAACTTGGCGATACATACCACGCGCGATACGAGCATGTTGAAGCTCTTGTCCTCATCTATAGGATTGGGTCAGCCATGGTTCCAGCCCTAAGGCAAAAGTTGTCTTACCGGATCCCCTCATGGGTCCACCAGAGACATGGGAGAACCACTGCTTAGAGTTCAAAAGGCCGAAACGGATCATTTCAATGGCAAGGAACGTAGCCTCCTCGAGCGAGTCGGCAGGGTCGAGCACAGACAACGCCTGCTCGAGACATACTCCCCATGGCGTAAGTTGATGTTTCTCGTCAATATAACCGCGGAGTTGCAAGAAGCGCCAATGTACGTTCGCAAGGATCTCGTCTTGCGTCGTCAATAGCTGTGAATGATTAGACCATACGCCTCTGAACGATTCGGGAAGGAGCGTACTTGTGCGTCTCGTGCAGACTGCGTCTTTGAACTGAAATCGGAGTCCTTCAAGCTCTGGACCGCGAATTTGAAACGACCAGTTGATGTCTTTATATCAATGAGTAAGCATCCCAATGTCATCTTGCAGTGAAAGCACCTACCTGCAACTTCTTCAAGTCCTCCGGGAGCTGTGCGGTGCGGATCTTCCAGGCCTGGATGGTCTCCTTGACGGAAGGTAGTGTCTTGAGGTTAATCTTAGACTGTGGGCTCTCTTCGTACCAGGTACGGACAGTGATATCCTTGGTCTGGTAGAATCGATGGAGAGAATGCGACAGCAACAACATCGCTTGAGTTCGGACCTGTGTGAGCGTGCTACCAGCAACTTGGCGATAGATTTCAGTATCCTCAACCCCCAGCGGCAGAGATACGGATACTTCACCCGACGTCAGATAATTGGGCACGTCGGGGCCCAGAACACCCTTGGACAGGTAGAAGTAAAGCTCTTCTGGCAGACGCTGGCCGATCAGCTCGTGCATATCTGATGAAACATTCTCCGGGTCCAACGGCCCCACTCGTCCGTCGACATCGATGTAAACGTGGTGCTTCACTGTCATGAGAGCGCGCTTGTAGCGATCCGTATACTGGAGCTCCTGCATGCGGCGGTCCTCCTCGAATTGGGCGCAGAGGGTGAGGGCGCTACGCCCGGCGATATTGAACATTGGGATGGCATCACGGACGATCGCGCCCTTACCGGGGTTGAGGGGATTCTCGAAGATGGGGAAGATGGGGAGGAAGGTGGATCCCAGCACAAGGCAGAAGTCGAGGAACTGTTCATTCGACATTCCACCCAGCTGCTCTTGGCAAGTCTGTTTGTTGATCCAGAAGAATTGTGCGGGGTCGATATCAATCCGCGTGATCAGTTTATCGACGTCGAACAGGAAGGTTTCGGAGGATCCGCAGACCGCATCGATGAGGGGGTTCGGGCCTCTGGTCAGGTAGGCGAGCTATTGGAAACGGAGCGGAGTGTGAGATGATACACTTCAATCTCGTAACGTGTTACTTCTTACCTGAGCTGCAGCACTATAGGGGGCCACGATGTAATCGACGCCGTTCTGGTGTAGAATGCGCTGCAAGAAGCGGTAGAGGGAATCCGGGCGGGGGGTGCCTTGGCCAAACAGACGGGAGTCAGCGCATGTGATATCCAAAAACCAGCCAATGCATGACTGCATACCGGCGCTGCTGAAGGCGTCCACTACTTGGTCGGCCTGCTGCTGATCGTAGAGGTCCCAAGCTTGCTCGAATGCCCGGACGGCTTCCTGCTGGACCTGGGGCCGTTGGTCCTTTTTGCCGAAGTCGAGGCCATTGAACACGAAGACGCAGGCGATGTCCAAATCCTTGAAGACCTGGAGCTCCTTCTCGATGTTGTTCTTCAACGCGAACGGGAATCCGCCCAGTGCGACCAAAAGGGGCTCGCGGGAGGAGGGGTGAACGAGGTGCTGGGAAATGTAGTGCGACGCATCGATACCAACGACTGCCCCTTTCAGAGCAGCAAGAGGGAGTGACTGGGTGCGGGTGGAGGCCCATTCATCCAGCGGACGGACTGTTATGAACCATGAATACATATTAGCTCGGTGGGAAGGGGAGCAGGCAGCTCAGCGTGAGCTACAGGTAGGGACTCACTCGGCATGGTGGAAGCGGAAGCTCTGTCACGGACTTTAGACGCGGGAACCGATATCAGGCATGGAGAACTCCAGAGGAGCGGGGAGTGGGAGAATAATGTAGGGTTGTGAATAGACCTGCGAGTGGGGAGTAGGACCCAAGTGAAACGAGGGGGAAAGGGGAGAGAGAAGGAGGATATGAGGGTCAGAAGACAGTTGTTGGAGAGATGATGCGACAATCGGATGTCAAAGGCGGAGGGTGTTTCGGGCGGGACAATCACGAGGGCGGTGTTGATTGCCGCCAACTGGTGTACCACCACCAAGCAGTTGGTGTTGATGGAAAGAAACTGACATTGATAAATACTACGGGGATTATGAAGTGGGATAGATGATTGCAATCAGAGTCGAGACCGATGCTAGCTCTCATTGACTATGGAATTTTTTGGTGTATATGTATATATCTCCCGTGAATTCAGGACTACCAGAATGTAAAGCGAAACATGCAATGATTGTATTTTCTGTGTTTGGAAGCTCCAAAATGGGGTTTTCCACCGGGTCTAGACTATCTACCTCGAGCATAAATCTTCTAGTTGCAAAGCACAATACACGATCCTACGTTTCCCTAGCCTTTGTCCATATCATCTAGCATAGCTTGGTGGGGAGCAAGATGACGAAGAACCATCTGTTAGGGCTATCAATCCTATCGAGCTCTCCATTGCTCGATGTATGTCTGAAAAGGGACAGAACTTGTGAATGCATATGCCCTACATAAACATCAAGCCATAAACACTGTCGGGACCATTCCAAACCCACGACAAAACCTATCCAATCAATCCAAGGTGCCAAGCACTGGAGGATAGCAACGAACCAGACCTTGTCTGGATATCTCGCTGACTCCATTTCTCCAAATGAAGGGTGGAAACACCATAGTTCCCAGTAGCCGAGAAAGCGGCGCGGCGGTGGATTTGATTCGATCAGATCTCAGATGGGGCTTGGTGGACACTCGACCAGTTGCAATGGGTGGGATGGTAAAGGAAGATAAGGATTGAGTGATTATGAGTGACTGCTTCCTATTCATACAATGTGGCAGTTCCAGAGGTGGGGATGTCACAAATTGTTGCTGGTCAGCAAAGCAGTACTATTAGCACAGTCAATGCATGAACTGACACTTTATACCTTTATACCTTTATACCAAGTACTCTTATCAGACTGCATATCCAAACAATTGACCCCGACAGGAAGCCTCACGCCATCCACCCATAGAATAATACCAATTAGAAATGAAAACGCCGGAACCTCCAGCGACAGCCGATATGGAAACCCACTTGGTAGGCCGATTGCTGGAACCGAGCCCATTTCCCCATATGGAGCCGACCGCCGCGGCATTTGATAGATAGCGAGAGCTCCCGATAAGTTTACTGCCTACTGGACTTTAAATAATAAATCTTTATACTGCCCCTCAGCGCCAGCCCACTGCACTTTCAGCTGACTCGAATCTTCCATTCGCTCCCTCAACCGCCTATTCCGTTCACAATGACCGACACCACCTCGGTCGGGGCGCCCATCGAGCTGCCCGTCCTCGACATCTCCAACCCGCTGGACCCTAACGCGGGGAAGGCGATGCTGGATGCAGCCACCACCTACGGGTTTCTGTACGTCGACAGCAAGGGCACCGACTTTACCCCGGCGGACGTGAAGCGGGCATTCGAACTGGTAAGTCATGATCTCAGTCAATGCATCTACAACCGCATTGCTTTGCTGTTCCGTCCACAACTAACCAGAAACCAAACCACCCAGTCGCAAACCTTCTTCAAATCCCCCGCCGAAGAAAAAGCGACCTGTCGCATCGAACCCAATGTGCGTCTGCGTCCCCTCACTCACCCCAGCCCCAAACGACCATCACCTCTAATGATACCCTCCAGAACCGGGGCTGGTCCGGAATGCACGTGGAGACCCTGGACCCGGAACATCAGCGAGTAAGATCTATACCAACCCTCTACCTGTATGAAGACCCTCAAGGCAACTAACCAGCCAACTTACCTCCCCAGACCGGCGACTTCAAAGAGTAAGCCAGCCCCTGCCCCTCTTACCCTCCTCAAGCGCTCACAAACGAGCCAACAGAGCCTTCAACTTCGGCGAGTTCATCAACAACCAAGCTCAGCAACCGCTCCCGCCAGCCTTAGCTCCGCACGAGGCCGAGATCGCGCATTTCGCCGAGCTGTGCCAGAAGACCTGCGCCAGGGTGCTGACCCTTCTGGCCTTGGGGCTTGGTGTACGTCTTCCCTTCCCTTCCCTTTTCCTATAGCACTTGCACTTGCACCCTTGAAAACGGATTGTATTAGGTGTGGGGGATAGTCCCCCCCCCC